CCAGGAGGGTTCAACCCTCTCACAGAATGCAAGATTCTCTGGGTTAAGACCAAGACTTCCCTGGGCAGTCTGTATTTATTAGGTTTTTGAACAAAGGAGGGAGATACTGAAGCAAATGCAGGAATCTGGGCAGGACTTGGGAAACCCCTTACGGAATTCTCCAAGCAATACTTTATGTTAATTTAGGCAAACTATGTTATCTCCAGGAAGGCCTTCACTGTAGGAGTAAGATGACTGCACCTACGGTCTCCTTTTAGTTAATTGAGGATGGCGTCAAACATCTTCGGCTGTGGCCTTCTCTTGTCCTTTGAGGCGTGCCAAATTCACAGGCCAATACAGTCCTCAGCAGTACCCAGTGACTCACAGAGGTTCACTTACTATGAGTCCGCTGCCCATCTCCAGACAAGGTGCCTAAATTTCAGACAACTCCCAAGTAAACATGGAAAGCCAATTGGTTAACATTAAATGCTGCTCAGAGCCGCTTCACAGTGGTCTCCACCAGTTAATAATGTTGAGCATGTTTTGCATGCTCACTGGCCATTTGTATGGCTTCCTTGGAGAAACGTCTTTTGGAATTTGTGGCTCATTTTTATTGATGAGTCATAAACAGACTCATGCTGCTGATCTTTGTTAGGATATTTTCTCCCATTCTATGTGTTGTCTTTTCACTTTCTTAGTAAGAGTATCCAAACCCTTTTTTTTTTCACCCACTGAATGTGGAGCTCAAAGCATACTGTAAGGACTGCTTTAGTCCTTGAGCACCAGGCTGCTCCCGCTGCTGTGTGGGTGTCCTCTCACATTCAGCCTCTGCTGGGAAACCCCAACATGAGCTCGCCTGGGCGCACAGTGACGCCAACAGCTCTCCTTACCTGCACTGTGTATTTCTCTGTTCCCCAACTTCATGCACCGGCTGGACAGCAGGGCTGAAGATTGGTCAGTCAGAGAAAGCAGGTGGCAGTTCAAGTCCATGTGTGTCACACATGTGCACATGTGTGAGCAAGCTCATGCCTTGCTGATCAGAGGTATTGGGACAGGTTGGCACAATAGTGGGTAGTCTTCCTCAGGATGGGGATCAATACTGACAGATAATGTGCATGGTTGCCCTGGATTCGAGTGAGTGTGTGAGTGTGTCTGAGTGTGTCTGAGTGTGTGTGTACTATGTCACATTGCTCAATCAGTAGGAGAGAGTAGAGTTAGTCTTTTCCTTGTCCTCCAGACTGGGAAACTCTGCTTTGCTGACCCGTTGTCCTACTAAAAGCCCATTTATACCCTGACAAGAGGGGCCAGGTCTCTCCACCTGTATGAACAGCAGTCTGCAGCACTGAAGGAAGGAAAAACACAGGTGTTGCCTCTGTGCACAGATGCAGTCACTGACTCGGAACTACACTGCCTGCTCTGAGCAGCTCCACGCGGTGTCCAGAGCGCCTTCTACATCTGCCACGCAGCATCTCCTGCCTGCGGCCGCTGTTCTCTTCCACTCCCACACCATCCTCCCACACCACAGTCACCACGCTACGCTGTCTCTCGGCACCAAGGAACCTCCATGATGCTTAATGTCTCTACTGAGAATGTTCTAGATGTCGAAAGCAAAGCCTAGATTCTCCTGAGCTCCTGGCAGAGCCCCATGTCCTGCCCACACCATCCAACAAGGGACCCACTAGCTCTACACAGCCAGTTAAATTTAAATAAGTGTACATAACATTGAATTAATCCTCTGTCAAGGGAAGGGGACCGGAGGTGGAAGGAGCAGGGAGGGAGGAGAAGGACGGGGGCGGGACAAGCACGGAGGCGTGCCGCGTGCGGTGCCCCCTCCCCGAGAGGAACATGGTCACTGTGCACTGTGAACGTGTGCTAATAAAAATGAAAATTAGAAAAATGAGCAGTTGCAGTACAGTCAAAGTTAAGTCACTGAAGACAGTCCCCGCTGGTCACGTGGAGAGTGCTCAGGGGTCCTGCACGGCCAGGGGCTGCACAGGGCCTGTGTGGACTCAGAGCGGGCTCAGGGCCAGCTCTTCCTTCCGCTCATGGTCTCCACGCGCACAGGAAGTGTGGACACCAAGGCCTGCCTTTCCCTCTCTGCTCTCCGGCTCAGAGGAGGAGCTCTGTGAAGGCGCTTAATGGACCATAAACATGCCCGGCACCCAGTGTGACTCGCAGGCAGGCTTTCCCGAGAGCAGTGCTGACAGTGCTTTCTCAGTTACCATCACAAGGACTGCACGGTGACGAGCCTCATACAACACCCACTGTCTTCAGGACGGAAACAGCCCGAGGACAGCGGGTCACCGCCAAGGTCTTTTAAGTTGTGTTCCCAGCAGCAAGCAGGACTGAATGTTGATAATCAGGTGAGTTTACAGCGCTCCTAGACTAAAAGCAGATTACCCAGTCTTGCGTTACAAGTTTGTATTAAGAAGCGTAGAAACTCTTGCGTGTGTTTTGAACACACTGCACAGGTCTTCTTCTTTCTCCTTGGAGTTGATCTGGGTTTTGTTTGCTACATACAAGTCGGATTCCCAGGCCTCGCCAGCCTAGAGCGACAGCAGGGATGTGGAATCTTGCGGCATTCTCCGCTCTCCTGTAATGCCCCAGGGCAGGGGACCCTCCTGTGACTCCTGAGCTGGGACCTCAGGTCTCTGGGGTGCTTTCCCATCACAGCCATTGGGCCCCCTTGTCCTGGGAGGGCATCCCTCACACATCTGCCTGTGACTTCTGGGATCACGGAGACAGCTATTGCAGCCCCTGGGAGGGGGGACCTGGCAGGTCTGGCTTCTGACAAGTCTTCCATGACGTTCTCCTGAAATGTGGTCCCTCAAACCAGGGGGAGCAATACATCATCCCTCAAGACAACCTGACCCTCATTCCTACTTCCGGTTCCGGGTCTTGGGGCAAAGTCCTGGAGCAAGGACAGGACCCACCAACTGTGAACAGCACGCCTCCTGTTGTAGCTCGCCCCATCACGTCCTGTGTCCACATCACCCAAGCCTCTACCTGCCTCAGTGCCTTCTCAGAAAGATCCCTGGGCCATGTCTCCTCCCACGCAAGCCAGCCTCAGTGTATTTGTGTACCTGGCTCCACCGCAGAACCAGGAAAACAACCCTGCCGTCATTCACCAGTACTGAGCACTGGCCTTCAGCCAGGGCAGGCACCGTGAGACCTCAGACTCGACACATCCGGGACGATCGCCTCTGGTCCCCTCGTGGGGCTTCGGGTATGGCAGCGCAGTGTCTGAGGAGCTGAGCCTCAGGGTCAGGATACCGTAATCACACTTCACTCAGCCTTGACCTCCAGCACTGACTCCCTTGTCTGCGGAATGGGGCTGGAACGATGCACACAGCTCATCGTGTTGTGATGAGGACGTCAGAATTGGCTGCAGCCAGCTATAAACCCAGCCTCAGCAAACTGGAAGGTACCATGATTCTGCAAAGCATGTCCTCTGCCACTGAGCTGGAAATAAATACTGCAAAAATTACTTGCTTCTGAGTTAGGTAACCCGTGGCTCAAATAAGGTGCTCCAGCTCTGTTGACGGGGTTTCTATCTGTGCACTTGCATCCCCAGTTATCAGTAGGAATCAGTGGGGACAGAGCGGCAGGCGGGAACCTCAGTGAGCACAGTCTCAGCGAGATGTCGCTCTTGATCTTCACCTGCAGAGAAGCGGACGATACGGAAGCCCAAGAACTGTGGGTTCCAGGCTTTTTTTACCCGGTAGGAGCATGGAATCAACACGAGAACTGTCCCATCTTAATGCACACGTTTGCACAAATACACACCTGAGTTTCTCTAATCGCTTTCTGAGGAAATAGCGCATTTTGCAGATTTCTGAGAAGGGTGCTCATAAGCAAGGTAAGGATCGTTCCCTTTATGCCTCTCCGTACGTGGACAGGGGACTCCTAGGGGGCCCAAACTCGAGAGTAAGGGTGCTGGAGGCATCACTAGTGTGCTCCTCGGAGCGGGAGGGCCCGGGCCTGTTTGCACAACTCCCTGGGCACTTGGCCCTTGGCTGGCAGCGGGACTTTCTGTATTTGCACTTGTGCTGCCATCACGCGAGCTCCAGGGCTCCGTCTCCAAGGAAACAGGAGAGACTGATGACAAAAATGTGAGTCACCACCCAGGCTTATGAATTAAGCAACCCTCTTCCACTCCACACATTTATAGAGCAACTATATTTAGTGAGGCACCGGGCCGGGGCCTCAGGAACGCTAAATTCAGACATCCAGATGGCCACGCAGACGCCGGGCCCCCATCCTCACGTGACCATCCCAGGCTGGCTGAGGAAGCAAACGGTGGGTGTGCAGTTACAAGCTTGGTTCCCTAGCCCCGTCAGCAAGTCAGTTTATTAACCTTGAACCTGCACACGAGGAAAACCGGAACAAAGTGCGCCTTGTCCGCCACCAGTGGTTCCCAGCAAGAAGATGAATGTGAACACTGTTTTAATACAGCCGAAGGGCTCCAAGAAAGTATTGCCAAGGCTGTTTAGAGAAGGCACAGAAAATGCTTCCATTGTCATGAGAAACATAAAAAAAATACATTTATGCAGCATTAAATGCATAGAATATGCTTGGAGATAAAAAAAATTAAACTAGTAGCGTTGCTGTCCTCTGAGGACGTTCACAGCATGGTCAGCTAATACTAAGAGGGAGCAGTGTTATCTCTTAGCATTTTGAACATTTAAATTGCGAACCTCAGGAAGTCATTAAACATAATATTTGAGTTTCAGTATTCAAACATAATATTTGAGTTTCAGTAGATTTAAATATTAAAACAAAGGTCTGAAACATACTGACTTTCCCTGAGAAGACCATGCTGTCACTAGTTTACTGTAAAATAGGGGAAATAAACACCAGCTACTAATATGAAAGCATGAATCCTCATCATGATAGGAACACGTGCTCATTAACAAACAGGCAGCACTTTTCTTACCCAGCAAGACCAGCTATCCCTGCTGCAGAAGCATCAGCGTTCAAAAACGGCAAATCGCGGAAGAAACGGAATTTTGGTTTCTCACCTTGGAGAGATCCCAAGTTAGTTCATGCACAGCTAGAAGTCACAGCCAAGGATGCGGCGTGCACACGGTCTTTCTGGACGCCCTTCTTCCGATGAACCCAGAGGGAACAGGAAATGTGCACTGCAGGGTCGGTTGGAGGCATCCATGGGTCCCCCACTCTTGAAGGCTCAGTTCCAAGAAGTCTGGAAGAAGTCTGGAAGGTCTTTATTCTGAAGTGAGACGGGGGAACTTTACCAGAATTTACCTTGAGAGTCCCCGCCCACTCCCCCAACTCTGAAGCGCTCCAGCGGAAACGTCACAGTGCAGGACGGATTTCCCGAGAGTCCCATGGACAGAGTCCCGAGGACAGATGCTGACTCCGGGCTGAGAACCCGTCTCCCCCAGCTTTTCCCTCTGGCTTCCCGCCTCCCCTTGAGCTACGGTTTGCTCAAGTCGTCTTTCTTCCCTCCAGGTCGGTTTTATTAGTTTTTGCTGTACAAGTCTTGTACACGTTTCTTTTCATGCGTTCCTAGATGTTTTATGCTAATGCAAATGGCATTTTTATTTTATTTTCCAAATGTATGAAACTTGATTAATTTTCATACATTAACCTTCTATCCTGCTACCTTGGTGACCTCACTTACTAGATCTAACAAGTGTTTTGCTATTGTTCTCTTCTAGAAGCTTTGCAGACTCTATGCAAATAGTCATGTCATCTGTGAATACTTTTTTCTTTCTAAGTTTGTATTTTCTCCTGTTTTTTTATTATGTTCAGCACTTTGAAAATGTCATTCTAGCCAGCCCTTCTTTAGTAAGCCACTGACATTCTTGTTCCCCGTAAAATCCTCTGGGTGTTTTTAGGGTTTTCTTTTCTATGTTTGGATTTTAAAGGTGCTATAGGTACATTTTCTCTGTATTTATCCTGTATTTCTTACTGCATCCTGGATATTTTACATGGGAGAACAGAAAGTTGGTGGGTTCACTTTTCATCACTGTGACAAAATGCCTGAGAGAATCGACTTAAAAGAGGCAAGGTTTATTTGGGTTCACTGTTCGGGAACTTTTGTTCCATGGTCTGTATTCCAGTGGCTTTGGAGCCTGTCATAGTGGGAGGGCATGGCAGAGGAAGCTGCTTGCTTCCTGGCAGTCAGGAAACAGAAGGAGAAGAGGAGGGGCTGGGGTCTCAGCAGCCCCTTCAGGGCCCAGCCCCTGACACCACCCACTACCTCCTGAAGGTTCCACCCCAGCCAGGACCACCACGAGTGAGCGAACAGGCCTCCACACTCAGGGCCTGGGGGACACTTACACACAAGGTTAGGTGCGACCTCCTCTTCCGCGGTGGTACCCAGGTGAGGAAGGGAGCTCACTATTCCCCAAGCATCGGGATTCTCCGGCCCTGGACCCTGTCCGTCTCTGTACTTGCCTTGGTTGTTCCCAAGTGGCACAATGGCTGCAGTCACCGAAAGCTGACCTCATGGTTAAGAGAGGAGCAGGGGGTGCTGTTGTTGTTGGGGGACAGCCTCTGAACTTGAGGGACAGCCTGGTAAGGGAAGGAAGTGAAGCCTGAGGAGGAGATTCCTCAGCAGGGTTTGGTGAAGCTCCGCGGGCCACAGGCGAACCTGGGGAGCTGTGATCAGCAGAACCAGAGACACCAAGCTGCACCAGGCTCCCCGTAAAATCCTCTGGGATTTTACGAGCTCGCACCTTCCTCCTGCTCTGCAGCCTCTACCAGTCCCTCTGAGGTCCCCAGTCCCATGGCTCCCAGCGAGATTCCAAGACACCAGCAGTGCAGAGGAGAGGACCAGCACACACGAGGACTGGCAGACACCCGCGACATGGGGGCTCGGTCCTCCCACACCTAAGCACCAAAGAAGATGGAATCTCAGGGTTCGGGGCGGGAATACTGGAGACTGATCCCGGACCTTCTCACCAAGCTACAGCCCCAGCGCTTTTTTAATCTTTATTTTGAGACAGGGTCTTGCTAAGTTGCTAAATGGCCCAGGCCGGGCTCAAACTTGCCACCCTCCTGCCTCAGACCCCCAGAGCGCTGGGATGACAGGCATCACCACTGCACCTTGCAGGATTGTGTACTTTTACCTGGTCCCCAAGGGCATTCTTCTGCACAATAAACTAATCACTGTAGAAGTGATCAGAATGTGTGGGTTTTTAATGAAATGGAATATAGTACATGGCAAGATGCAAATTCTCTTTCCTGCCAAAACAAACAAAAAAATCAATTAACAAAAATGGTCCTTTCCAGTTAATCTAAGTTTAGCAGCATAACAACATATAAAAAGCCCTCCTAGACCTCGTCTTGGTACAGAAAAATCCACATTTGTTTCCTTTACCTTTTTTTTGTTTTTTTTCCGGTACCAGGAATCGAACTCACGACCTCGTGCTTGCCAGGCAGGCGCTGTGCTGCTGAGCTACATCCCCACCCCCCCAGATTTGTAATCCTATGGAAAAGTTATTGGAATTTTAATAAATTAATTCTAATCTACCATTCCCAGTGCAACCCATCCAGAGAATACAGACACTAAGTTCATCTGTAGTTGCGGGGAGCCAGGGGGTCCTAAGTGCAGGCAGTATGACGGCTACCTGGAACAAAGGCTCCACCCTGGGCTGAATTTATGAATTCATGAAGAGGGGAGTGGCTCGGGATGAGCCACTGGGAGAGTGGCAGGAGGTACGTGAGTGCCGTGAGCTGCACTAGGTGAGTAAGAGGAATGACAGCACCCCTGCGATACGCAGAGAGCGATCTGCATAACTCAGTTCAGAGCAGTATGTGATGCTTTGGGGTCAGAGCTTCAGCTCCCGTGTGTAACTTTTCATGCCCTGAGACGTCATAGCCTCTGATTCTTGCCCTCAGCATAGTGTGGCTCTCTCAGCCAGTTCACACATAGGTCTTGGGAGCTACAGGGCGGGCGACACTGACCTGTCCCCCTGCTGCGAAGACTACTCATCAGCACCCCAGCCAGACCCACCTGCACTGCTTAACGCCAGTTGCGGGGATAAAGACAAATCTTAGCCGGCTCTGCACACATCGATACACAGAAGTAGGGCCAGGTTGAGCCCAAAGGGAGACACTTGCTCTTCTTTCAAAGAAAGTCAGTCACTCACAACAACAAGCCTTTGATTTTTACTTTACTGGAAAAGCAACCAGTTCAAAGGCGACTGGCCGCAGATCCGTGGAAGACGGAGGAGGCGGCGGGGGAGCAGTGCTTTCCCTGGAGCGCGGCGGTCCCGTCACTCCGGGTGTATTTCTCCTCGGGTGCCCCCCTGCCGGGCCCTGCGCTCGCTGAGGACGGTGCCTGCAGTGCCCAGCACACAGCCCCACCCCCTAACCGCAAGCCCCTCCCAGATGCGCTTGGAATTAAGTCACAGTCCGCAGCGCTCCCTTGGCCAGCGAGGCTCCTGAAAGTCCCTCTTTCAGGCCCGAGCCCGCTCGGAAAGCGACCAAAAGCCGTGTATTTAATTTCTAAGGCCCTTCCAGGCTCGCTGACAAATTGGCCCTCACAGCGCCTTCTCCTACTTGTGAGCTTTCGTGGGGCTACGTTGTCCAACGATGCGCCGCAGGTGATTGCCCCTTGGCTCAGAAGAATCAAGGGATTGTGTCACGTAAATTGCACTGCTCGACTGTTTAAAGAAGCAGCTCTTTCCCTAAGACAATCATATATTCAGCTTTAAAACTATTTCAAGGCATGAGTCAAACAAAGTAAGTATTCAGAAGTACAATTCCAAAACGAGAAAAAGATAAACTGTGTTCGAGCATGAGATGAACAAAAACCAATCTGTCGGTTATACACAACTGTATTCAAGGAGATAGACAGAAAACAAAAATGCACTTAAAAACCTCCATTGTCACGGGCCGGGGATGTAACTCAGCGGCACAGAGCCCGCCTACCAAGCACAAGGTCCTGAGTTCCATTCCCGGTACCAACATGAAAAAGAAACCAACCCTCCGTTGTCACAAAAAACCCATATATGGGGACATTTATTTACAAGGGAAAATATAAAGAAAAAACTGCATAGAAAATAGGAACCCTGGTAACCCCAAAACCAGGCCACTGGGGAGAAAGTTTTTATAAATTAATTAAGAGAATACACAGAAACCAATCAGTTATGGGTCAAAAGCCAGGACATTCACAAGACAAGCTAAATTATTTTGAGCAAATAAAATACAGTGTCTTTCTCTTATTTCTGAAATAGGATCCGTGGTGCTTACGTTAGAAGTCTGGTTAACCAATGCACTCATAATTAATTAACATTTTTTTTACTATTTATAAAGTTTAGAGCTAAACAAAAATGTGAATTGTGCCACTAGCATCACAGACTCCAGGTTCCTTAGGGTATCTTATGAGAAGGGCGTGGGGCAGCAAGGGACATGGCTCTGGATCCATGGGGGCTGGAGGAGGCATTAACTGGGGACAGAGGAGGACAGGACAGGACACCCAGACAGCAGATCAGGGTCTGACATCTGCACGTCTGCCTTCTAGCAGGCAATTGTCAGATCGCAAGGAAGAGCAGTTGCCCTGGGCCCTAACCCTCACGCACCCACCACCGACTCACTGTGTGACCTGAGGAAGCACCGGACCCTCTCTGCACCTCAGTTTCATCACTTGTAAGAACTGCACAGACCCCCACCTTGGGGAGATTAAGTGCAGTCTTGTGTGCAATGTGTTTATCACAACGCTTGTGGCAAAACGCACATTCCAGCAACGCTAGCAGGTGGTCCTATCACTAATGGTAGCAATCATATCCGTGAAGGCGGCACAGTTTGCTCCCAGGTTATGGTTCAGGAGTAAAATGCCCACCCTAAAATGGTTAAAGATTCAGAAGAGAAAGTTAGAGCCCCAGTTCTCCATGGACTGGGGGCTATCAAGCAGGCAGCACACAGGACAAGGCAAACCACACACACAAAAACAAGCAAGTGTGCGTGACCAAGTCACAGCAACCAGGTAAAAAGGCAGTAGTAGAAACAGACAAATAATCAGATTTTATAGCCAGGCCTGGTGGTACACTGGAGGCTGAGGCAGGAGGATTGCTGCAAGTTTCAGGCCAATCTGGGCTACAAAGTGCAGTTAGGCCAACCTGAACTGCATAGCAAGACTCTGTCTCAAGAAACCAAACTTTTTTTTTCAAAATCAGATTTTAACAAGTAGTAGGTCAACACGATGGGTTTGGACCCATCTAATTTCAGAGACCAGACTGGCTCTGCCGCTGAGAAAAAGAATTCCGGGGAAAGTGGACAGTCAGCTCACTGACGCACAGACCTGACACTTTGCAACACCTTTGGGTATCCAGAGTTCAAGGCTCAGGACTCCCTTTCCTAATGGAAGCAAAAAGAAACCTCTGCCCAGCGCTGTTCACTAAGCCAGCGGGACAGAACGCACATCTCTCACTCTTACCTCCTGCAGATCCTGCTCACTCTCATTTTGCACACAGCTTTAACCCACAGCTGTGTCTGGCTTCCCAGCTCACGACAGATCGGGGAGAAAGGGAAGACTTGCAGTGGTGGGGACCCCGTGTAAAAGGAAGGCACTATACAAAAGTATTCAAAAAGCAGGAACGGGCCTTCAAAAGCACAGGGTCATTGTACTGTTTTACACCAGGGCAAGTTGCCCAGGATGTCTCCTAAACCGAGGAAGCACATCACAGTACCAGATACCCATAATGACGGAAGATGAGGACACAGCACACTGTTCCTGACACCTCCAGATTCGATGGTTGCTTTCTGTTCACCACCTCACTGCCCCTTCTCAGCTCCTGGGGTCCCCAAGTTCTCACCCACCTGGTCCCTGAGCTCTCAGACCCATGCATGTGGCCTCTTTTTCTGGAGAGACCACCTCAAACCACACCAGCTTCTCTCCCTCTGAATTCAGCATGGACAGCACCAGTCGTTCTACCTCAAAATCATCGTTCACTGACGCGCTGCCTACGTTCAGCGTGCAGTGATCACATCGTGACAGGGGCAGGTCCGTCATCTCCGACGTGTATCAGTTCTTCATGTTCAGAACACGTAAAACCCTTCTTCAGGTGACTTGAAACACCGGCAAATCATCAGAAACTACAGTCGCCCTGCCGTGCCTCAGCAGCGGGACTCACTTCTCCTCTCCAAAGTGCGCTTTGTGTTTCGTGCTCAGGGAGCTGCCTTCATCTGTCCACCCCCACCGTTCCCCAGTCCCGGGAGTGGCTCTTCCTCTCTCTGCATCCAGGAAATCAACTCATTTCTCTCCCCATGGGGAGTGACGCTCTGTGATCTTAGTCTTTCTGAGCTGGCTTGATTTACTGAACACAGACAGTGTCCTCCAGCCTCATCCACGCGGCCACCGACGACTGAAAAATACCCCTCCGTGGGTAGAGCTCCTCGTCTCCCAATCCGCTCTGCAGGCAGATCCCAGGCTCAGCAGGCAGACGCCCAGGCGTATGCCCAGCCGTGGCTTCTGTGACAGCGCTGCCCTGAACGTGGGAGTGAAGCTGTCTCTTTGCCCACCTTTCTTTGACTGTGCCCTGCCTCATTTTGTCTTCACAGCATTTGAC